TTTATTTTGCTACAGGAGATCTTGTGAGAACCTTCCCGAAATCATGAGAGATTCAGGGAAGTGTGCGACACCAAAGTGCCACAGTTTGACTGAAGGGTTTGCCCTTCGTTTCACCTTCCTTCTTATCAGATTCCTTGAGAAAAATATTTCAGGTATTAGGAACTGCCAAGATTGAACACAGCTTAGAAAAAACTCTTGTTCCAGAAATTAACTGAGAGCAGCTGCATAAGCTTTCCAATCCATGGGAAAACAACCCATATACACTTGGGACTTGCCCACCTCATCAGAGTAGCCTCTGTCAGCCAGGCTTGTATGTGCTTCACTTATCACAACACCTGCGAGAAGCTCTTACACAAAACCCTCCAGCCGTCCCCTTTCAGAGCAAAGCATCAGTTTGCATGCAGCAACAACCTCTAAGCAGAGGCATGCCATTTATATTCATGTGCTAAGGAAGAAGGGAAGAGGAGGGAGAGCATCGTTTGACACTGTACAGGCGAAATACCACTGAACCTGTCATTACTGAATTGTGGATGATTTTGTGCTGTCCTAATTGTACGTGGCGGGGAATGTTAAACAGCGTAGAGATTCTGTAAGGGAATCCTCATGCAATGCGTTCCAAGCTATGAAAAAGTTAACCTTGTTCAGCAAAAGGACATACTGCTTTTTATTCAAGAATTGTTAACTTCAAAAGCTCCTTCTCTTCGTGGAAGGAGAACAGACGCACTAGGCATGGGAAATAATGAGTCCATAGCTCTGCAACTGATCTGGGAGCTTTCTATAAGGTTTTTGTTTTGTTACTTGACTCTAGAACTATTTGTTAGATTTATAAGTTCAAAGCCTGGCTCTTAAACTGTCTAATCCTGTGGTGCTAAGTAGGAGCATGCAAATCAGCTTAGTAAACTATCTGAACACAAAACGTTAGACTCCTTATGGCATCTGGAGGGAGTGATCACAAGATTGAGGCGATTGCTTTCCGTGGGCTCCACTATGCTAATCAGTAATGCTAAGTTGGGTTTCCCTTTCCCACTGCACCGTCTCCCTGTAGAACGTTGCTTTTACTTCCAGCTGGTTAGATTGTCCAGGGGACTGAAGATTTCCTCACTTGTCTGCGATGCTGTTAAGCAGCAGAATTGCACGTGAAAGAGAAAAGGGGGAAACTCAGACTGTATTACCCTCATTGTTAATTTACAGGCTAGGCACCCCGTGGAACAGGTAGTAATGTGAGACGCCTTTTCCTTGCAGACTAGAAGAACCTATGCTTACTCCTAGTCTTTGAATTTCCAATAGCGGGCATCAGGGTTATATCGGAGTGCTGGAGGCTACGGGAGGACGATTAATATGCTATTCATTTACAGTGTTTGTACATCCTGAAATTGCAAAAACAATCCTCCTGTAACCCAGTTGCCTCCTTTATACTGTCACGTGCCAATAGTTCTCTCTTGTCCAGCGTAACATTTTCCTCAAAGGAGCTGGCTGGTGATAGCCTCGTTTGGTGTCAACCTGTAGTAATTATTGCCCAACTTTTGGGTACAGTTTTCTGTTGCACCGAGGAGATTATTTATGTTTGTGTAGAGTACTCACTGCGGCCAGGCAATGCTTTGCATTGCTTTGCACACTGGCCAGATGCAAGAATGCCTGACGACAAGGAATAGCGGTCCAGGACAAATGGGTCGGGGTTCATTAGAAAAGTTGCCTGGAGTCTGTCATACGTGTAAAACAAAAACGATAAAACCAGCCTTTGTCTTACTGTTCCCAGAGCCCATCCCTGCTCTTTCCTCATGGCAGCGAGACGGCTTAGACTCAGATGAGGCTCGCCTTTCCCCGCAGGCCGGTCGCTTAATTCGCCAGCTTCTGGACGAGGACAGCGATCCTATGCTGTCCCCTCGCTTCTATGCTTATGGACAGAGCCAACAGTACCTGGATGATACAGAAGTGCCTCCTTCCCCTCCCAATTCTCATTCCTTCATGAGGTGGGTTGTGATTTGCCTGCGCTGACTCTCGCACCCAGCTGTAAAGGGTTTGCACAGTTGCATCGAGCAACATCTCTTTGAATCGCATATGCCGGATAGCTATGCTGTGTTGGATTTCTGTTCCTACTGATGGGAAACTGATATTTTTAGAAAAGTTCTTGGTAACTGATTGTTTATGGATTTGTGAATTAATATCTAAGGATTTTCTGTTGCTGAAAGGCTGTTATAGCATCTTTTGCTCTCTGCCACTACAGAGTAGCAACATAGCTTCCTCACTTCTGTGGGATTTGCCTTTAGTTACACAAAGTTTAAGAGGCCTTCTCTGCATGAAGGTGTACTGTGGCAGTTTGGATAAGCTCTTTCTGCAATCTCTGCTCTGGGTAGGAGGCGGAGTTCATCTTTGGGATCTTATGAAGATGACAGAGAGGACCTTACCCCTGCGCAACTCACCCGGAGGATTCAGGGACTGAAAAAAAAGATCAGGAGATTTGAGGACAAATTCGAAGAGGAGCGGAAATACAGAGTGAGTCTCTAGGACTTAAGCATTTGTATGGAGACGTATGCATTAGCAACAAAGGGAAGGACATCAGGGAATTCTGTCAAACATACAGAGGGCTTGAAAGCTTTCATAATGGGAGGGAAAAAAGAAGAAAAAGCTGCTGTGCAAAAAAAGAAAATGTGCATCCATGCCAAGCAAATTACCTTTCCAGGCACTATGTACTATCAGTGCAGCACAAGAGATAGCCTAATAAACTCATAGGATTTTGATCACTGCTTAAGACAGTGTGCCAGAAGCACACACTCGGTGTGTAGGAACAGCTATGTTTCATTTCTCTTTGTTTATTTATTCAAGTTCATCTTATGGGAACCACAATTGCACATCTCATTTGCATGACGGTAATCCCAGGACACCAGTGCATTGCAGAGGAGAGAGAGCAGCCGCCTTTACTCCTGAGCAAGGAACCACAGTCAAGCTCTGCGGAGCAGTAGCAGTATGCTGTACTCTAATTATTCCTGACATGCCCTTCCGATGCGCAGAAAGCTTTTTATGGAACTAAAGCTTTGCATGTGTACATCTTTGTTGGTGATCTAAACCACAAAGGATTGTACTGAAAGGATCTTGCCTGGAGTTGGAAAGGCTGGAAGAAATTGCTCAGAGCTTGCTGTAGCCTGGCATTTGGGTTATTTCAGTGTCATTGGATGTAAGGGAACCTTTGGTGTGGAAACATGCATCCTGATGCTTCTCAAACTGCTCATGCTAGGTTTCTTCTATTTTGGAGGTGTCCTTTTGTTAGGAAACAGTAGGCACAAGGATTCCAGTGTGCATCTGGCCCTCGGAGCCGCTCCTGTTTGCCATCAAAAGTTTTGTGTTTTCTGAAAAGAAAATCAATCTCATGATGCCCCTAAGAGACAGTGTTGTAACAGGCAGGAGCAATTAAAGCAAGGTCTGAAATGAGCTGGTCAGAGGTATGCAGGTGGTGGTCAGAAGCCTGTGCCCATGCTCTATGCTGGGTCCAAATTCTGTTCTACCTCTTTTTGTGACACATGCTTGTTTCAGTGGGTCTCTCCTGTTGGTTTAACACAAATTCAGCATACTGTTCCTTCCTCCCAGCCTTCCCACAGCGACAAAGCAGCCAACCCTGAAGTGCTCAAATGGACAAATGATTTGGCCAAATTCCGAAAGCAACTTAAAGGTGAGCAGCCACCACTGGTGCACCCTGGGGGGAAGCTGGGCTCTGCCTCATTTAAATTTCATGTTAGGCAGCGATCTTGTCACTGTCACATTTTTAAAAAGAATAAATATTCCTCTTCCCTTAAATGTCCCTGTTCAGAGTCAAAACTGAAGATATCTGAGGAAGACCTTGGACCTGTTGTGCGTCAGCGGAGCAACACGCTCCCCAAGAGCTTTGGCTCCCAGCTCGAAAAGGACGACGACAAGAAGCAAGACCTGTCAGATAAATCTGCCAAGCCTGCCGTGGAAGCAACCCTTGATTCTATCCAGAAGAAGCTTCAAGAAAAACGAACAGAGACAAACCGACCTGAAGATATTAAGGTACAATGTAGACAGATCAGATTTAGGCCTTTAAGTACAAGTAGGTAACTTATGGCTGCATGGTCACTTGTGAAAACCCTGTGATTTTCTACATTTTGTCACAAAGTCTACAGCCTTTGCTCCTGACTCAGTTGCTTTAGTTTCTTTCCCTCTGTCTTTAGTATCTGATTTTTTTTGCAGAGCTTGGTTTCCTTTGAATGTCATTGTGTGTTCTTTTTCTGATCCTTGTATATTCCAAGTAATGTTTCTGAATTATTGCAATATTTCCTGCCCTGTATTTGGCTATTTCTGTTGTTATGTCGAAAGGCATTTGGCAAATTCTGAGTCTTCCAGTGATTCTGGAGATTGGGTCATCTGTTTTCTTCTAGTTCACTCCAAAGCTGAATGCTCTTCTCTCAGGGCATTTTGTCACTGCTCTTCAGAGTTTCACATTGAGCTCTGTTAGCTACTGTAATATCTGAGGGTTATCAGCAGGGAGGTCTTTGTGTCTGATGCTGCTGGTTCCTGAGGTTTGGGCAGCCTTGTAAGTGAAGTCCTTGAGTCTGCTGACACGTAAATTGCGCAGTGCTTTGTAAGAGAGGAGCAGACAGTATTATCTTTGTTTACTAGATCTGCAGAAGGAGAGGGACACACAGTGTGTGTTTGGCTGTTTTCTGATGGTAGCAAGAATCCACAGCCTGGCTGTTCAAAGAGGGCCTGTGATAGTGTTTGGTGCTGTGATAGGGAGAGAAGGCTCAGTGTCAGGCAAGTTCAGTGGGGGAACTCTGGCAAGCTTAGTTAGGGAAGTGTTCTCCAACTCTCTGCCCTTTTTTTGGCTTGATCCCCTCAGCCTGTCTGCCAGAGCTTTTCTCTCCATAGCAGAATTGGCAGAAAGAGGCGGTCTGACTGCTCTTCAGTTCTTGGTAAAATGTGTTTGTGGCAGTCAAAGCAAAGATGGAAAGCTTTGCAAGAGGTACTGGAGCTTGTCTTGGATTTGGAGAACAAGAAAGAACATGTGTTTTGTTGTAGAGCTTACACTTTGGATCTTAACTGAAAAAGAGCCACCATCATTAAAAGTTGCATACCATTGTTTTTTCAAAGCACGCTGATAATTGATAAATCCCCCTTAAGTACACAGAATACCTTCATATGCAAAACTTACGTGGTTTTAATCTGCCTGCAATGTGCATAGGGTGCCACTTATGTTAGCAGTCTCTTTGGCAATATAGCTGGGGAAGGAGGACTGGAAGGCAGACATGAGTCTTCAAAACATTAATGACAAAATGACATGACTTTGGTTAGGTCACAAATCAGTACTGTTTGAGTCCAGGAATCTGACTTTTTTTTTTTTTCTTCCTCTTCTCTCTCTGTGCCACTTTTCATAGGACATGACAAGAGACCAGATAGCAGCTGAAAAAGTGGCTCTTCAAAAAGCTTTGCTGTATTACGAAAGCATTCATGGCAGACCGGTATGTACAGCAGCATTTTTTTCAAAGTACATCTTTATATGTCTTTGTCTTTGGTAAGTGATTCCGCCTAATGCTCCTTTGACGTCACAGTCACTAGAACTTCTCGCTGTTCAAACCGCACGTGCATCCTCTAATCCACCTCCCTGATCCTTCACTACTGCTGCTACTGAGGAGTCTGTTCTCAACAAGGTGATGTCTGCACACAGCACTGGGTTTGGCAGATACCTGGAGGACGGAGCCTACAGGCTGAATGAGGCGGAATGTGCGTTATTTTGGCACCGCATTCACCAGGATCCGCAGGCATCCAGTCTGTGGCCCAGCTGACTCACCAGCTTTGCCGGGGATACAGTCTGCACACGAATAGTTGTGTGTGGTCCTCCACACAGCCAGGAATTTTGCCATTTGCTAGTATTAATGGCTAACTGGGAAGACAAGTATATGTACACTGCTCGTTCTTGGAGGAGCTACGGTGTATTTCTCCCGGCACCGTGCTGTTTGCAAGGAGGCACCTGCACCTTACTGTTGGCACAATCCTCTTGTGCCGAGGGATTCGTGGAACAGTTTGTCTCTTGAGCATCACAGCATAAGTTGAGAGGAGATTTCATTCTTTCCCTGAGAAATGGATGGTTTTTTCCATGTGCCAGTGGAAGGGAAGGGCATAAGGTTTCTTGCACGTTTGATCTTAACAAAGGAAAATTATTTCTGAAGGCAGAGAATTAAGTATTGTTTACTGTTGATCCCTGCCATGGCAAAACCATAGTGGCTTCCAAGCCACCAAGTTGGCTTTGTATGGATCCCTTCTCTTTCACTGATGACATTGTAATCTTTGTTACCAGCTGTATAGGTAAAGTAACTTAATTTCAGAGTAGTGCTAATCCCTTGAGCAGTGGCTTGGGAGCAGCAAATTACTGCTTATAAGGAGTACTTGATTAGTGCAGCTGACAGATCTGTCATTCTGCTGCTGCATGGGAGTTCTAATCTCTTCCTTCCTTTTGCTCCTGAATTATTTCCTCCTTTGTCCATTGTTTTAAAAAAAAGTCTCACTAATTTATTTAAATGCCTTCATGAAGTGCTAATATTGTACAGTCACATATACCAGCAGCTGAAAACAGCGTAGTTGTATGAGAGGACATGCAGTTTTATTATTGTGTAAAATAGCAAAAGGCCAACGCAAGGAAATCCACTTACCCTTCTCTGTCTTCTCCATGAGACCGAGTCTGGTTTTGCTGCATTTTACAAAATGCTTTTACACTATAAATCAACAGGTGGCATCTGGTTGAAGTGAACTCACTTCAATCTGTTTAAAAAGAGAACAAGCCCAGGGTCTAGCTTGTCAGCATACCTTTTGGTTTTTTCTCCCCTTTCTGATGCTTTATTTATACAACTGCTTTTTAATTTGTTTGTTTTTAAGTAAGCAGTCTATACCTAGCAACACTGAACTGCATGGCAGGGAAGACTGCAGCTGATCAGCTTTTGCTGTTCCCAGCTCCTGGCACTGCAGCAGTGGAAAAGTACTGAGAGCTTGAGGAGAATGGGGATAGTTCAGCCAAGTTTTTTTTTTTTTCTTAAAGATATTTAACTAAACAAGAAAAACAATGGAGCTCAGATTTATTGTGCAACTGGGTCTTTCTGCACCAGTGATAGATGAACCTGCAAAGGTGGAACTGGACTGTTTTACTAAAGGCAAAAAGTCCATCTCTGCATAAATTCTCGAGCTGCTCTAACAATGCAAGCAATGGTCTGTTCCTCAGCTGTTGCTCTTTTGCCATGTGGAGTGTGCCCCAGAGTTGTGTCAAAGGCTCCATTATTCCAGCAGGCTTTTTGCATTTTGATGTTCTACCAAAATATACTCGGGTTTTGCTGGTATTACTTGTGTTTACCTAGTGAGACAGTTTACCCATGTGCTAAACGTCTTCTTTCAGAATCTGCTTTCTGTTAAGTGTGCTGGTGTAAGTCTGCAGGGCTGACTCAGGCCCCATACACTTAAATTCAATGCCTAAATTAATTCTCTGTGTTCTTCCTCCATACTGATATTCAGACACTCAAACATGGTATTTATTTTTTCCATTCTTCAAGATACCTAAGGGTTTTCTGCCCATTCCAAGGCTTATGTTTATTTTTCTGTACAGAATCATGGCAGGGGGGTTGGAACTAGTTGATCTTTAAGGTCCCTTCCAACCCAAACCATTCTATTTATCGACTTGGAAATGTCATTAATTGAAGGTTGGGTTCTCAGCCTCAGCATAGTCTTTTGGGTTTTTTAAGTAACAGAAACTGTCTGAGCTGACAGTAGTGCTGTGCCTCCTGTTCTACTAACTGCTAACCTAGTAAAGCTAGGAATAATAACATATATATAAAAGCTACTCGTTTTCTCCAGTTGTATGCTTGATTGGTTGCAGAGAAATGTCCAAAGTTGGAGGCAACTTGCTAGGCAGTGCAATTGACTGCAGACACATCAACATGGAACTTGATACAGAGAGGGCTGACTGAATTGTTTGATGCTGCTCGCATCCCTCTAATCCACGCGAGCTGCTTACTCACTCAACAAACAGCCAGCTTGAGGTTATCCGATATTGGAGCCAGCCTGTGCTTTGGAGGTGCGGGACACGCAGGCCCTAGAGCTCAGACTGCCCATGCATATGCGCCTTACCAGGCTTGGGGGTGTTTGCATTGAACCCAGAAAGGGATAAAAAGGGCTTCCTTCTTTTTCCTCCCTATTGGCCTGCCCCCAGTGTAGGAAATAGGCTTAGTGATCAGCAG